CAATTGTGATTCCGAGTCCGGAGACTGCATTCCGTGAAATGTTGCTGGGACAGCTGCATGTGAGGCGTGAAGAAGTCGTTGTTATGGAAGCCAAGATACAGGCCCTCTCTGCCCCTGGTGCAAGCTTATTTCCCGGATCAACTACTGCCTCTCCATGATTGTCATTGAAAAAAAAGTCTTTTGTTGCTGGTTTGTTTTTTAACAATTTATTAAATTTCGAACAATATTTATATTTTGTTTTTATTTTGGATAATTTGATTTTTGATGCATGATTGGGTCTGCTACCCCAATCTGCATATTAAATGTTACGTTTTGTTTTTTGAATTATCTATGATTTAATTTTGATTCACTTGGTGCAGGATTTCTGAATTTGAACAATAATATTTTGATTGTTGTTCTTATAGTTTTTGCCTTATGTATGTGATAATTGCATTTGCAGGTACACGTAAATGCTATTATTTATTTTGTTTTCATTTTGAGGAGGATCTTTGAATCTGGACAATTTTGTTTGGATACCTTGTTATTTGATATTTGGCATTATGTATGTGATTATTGGATTTGCAGGTATAAATAGATCATCTGTTTTTGTTTTGGTTTCAATTTGAGAATGTTTTTTGAATCTGAACAATTTTGTTTGGATTTCTTGTTATTGGGTATTTTGCATTATGTATGTGGTTGTTGGATTTGTAGGAACAAGTAAATGATCTGCTTTATTCTGGTTTCAATTTGAGTTGGTTGTTATAATGTACTCTATTTTGTTTGGATTTATAGTTGAGTATATTAATTTTGTTTCGAATCGTGTAAGTAGTTTTGTTTAGTATCATTGTTATAAATTACAACATTTGTACTTTGTTTTCATAGTTTGTAATGTGAGTGCAATATTCCTAGTCTTAACTTTGTTTTCATAGTTTGTGGACATAATTAGGTTATGCGTTACTCTATTTTGATAACTTGTTTTATCTATGAAGATTTTGCTTACAAAATAAGGTTTTTATATTGTATTTATGTTTTTCCAAACGCAATTGTATTTACTAATATCATGTATGGTAGGGTTTCATCTGTTTATTATGTTTGTAATTTAAGACTATAAAGGTAATATGAATGAAAATGCATAATGTGACAAAAGCGAATCAGTTTTAATACAACTTATTGAAGCATGTACAAGTTGAGGGCGGTGTAACTTTACATTGAATGTAACTGGAAATTTAATATATTTGTAAAAGTTTTTCATCAAACCCTAGTGCAATAACCCAATAAATGAATTGTAAAATCCTAATGCAACATAGACTATAATAGTGAACCAAAAGGAAATCAGTTTTAATACAACTGTCTTATAGTAAACCAAAGGTAAAAAGGAGTCGATAAATAACATTTAAATAAATTTAAATTACATTTGTTGCCTCATGTGACGGTATGTATCCAAATATGATGAGTTCAAATGAGACGTCGAATGACTTGTTCCTTCCTGAAAACAAATTTGTGTCTCAATATGAATAATAGATATCATTACAAACATGTGAATGGATCCCACATGCAGAATTTTTGAATATGAATAATAAATATCATTACAAACTTGTGAATAGATTCCACCTGCAGAATTGTGCAATTGTTGACGTTCAATATTTAAAAGAAGGCTAGTATGTGATCCAACGTATTCCGGTGTGACAAATTGCGATGTGTTTGACGAAGGTTGGACAAAGGAGTCCTCTGTGACAGCGTTACCATAACCAGCATTTTCTAATGGGTTAATACGTGCTGAATGTTTCGCATTAGCCCTTGCACGAGAAGCTGGGTTCTGCTCACAAGTTGTGGTCTTGTGTCCAGGTTTCCTTCAACGTTTGCACAACAAAATTCGTAAACAATATAGGATATGAAATTCAAATAATATTGACAAAGCAATAAGAAATACACCAACCTGCATAATCCGCATAAATGCTTCTTAGCTTTGGATCCGCCCTTAGGAACAATCTTAGCGGGATCACCGACATGTGGGACGTGTTTGAAATTTTCAATTGGTTCCTCATTATCACCTTCATCATCATCATCATCATCATCATCATCATCATCATCATCATCATCATCAGGATGATCAACCAAAGCCTTCTTCGATACTCTGCCGTGAATTTTCATAGTAGGATCCAAGTATGAGAAACGAGATGTGAGGTTCTTGACAACATCAACAAACCACCGAGGATGGATACTCTTAGCAGGAAATTTAGTAAGTGTCAAATTCTTAAAACCACATATCAAATGGCGACAAGGGATGCCATCGGACTCGAGCTTACTACATTCGCATTGGAATTCTTCGTTGTCCAAATCGATTACGGTGGTAAATGTACGAGGCCTTGCCTTGCTATGATCTTCAAAGATGAATGTGTGCCGCCGATTAACAGGTACACTCTTGTTGAGTACAATTATGTTTGCCTCCTCCTTCAGCTCCTTTTGTATATAATCGAATATGGCTCTAGTGCATACGCGACCGGCATGGTTCTCAAGACCGCTTAATAAGCCTGTACGCTTCACTTCTCTTGGTGGATTCTCAGATTCCTTCTGCAATACGTGAAACCTCTTTCGAATCCTCTTCAAGAAATTATTGTTGTACTGCCTAAACAAATTTGTAAGGCTACAACCAGAACTCACTTTCTGTTTCAGTGAAGCGTTCATTGACTCTGCACGTTGGGTGCTTCTCTTCATAGAAAAAAACTTGCCTCGAAAAAATGCTTATGCCCATAAATGTCGTTTTGAGTATATTTCTTGTATCCATGGATGGTCGGCAACACCGAACTTAGCAATCAATGTAGACCATCTAGCTTCAAATTGGGCCACAGAGCATGTACTTTTCATTAGCTTGGAAAAACATGTTGAGAATCCTGGAATTTTTATATTAGTTTCGGCATTACGTGAAATATGCCAGCAACAAAGCCGATGAGTTGCTTTAGGAAAAACATCTCTAATGGCTGTGCACATTGCTGCATCCTGATCCGTCAAAACAGCTGTGGGTGCTTTTCCGTTCATGAATTTTTGAAATGTTTGGCAACCAGGTGTATTGTTGAGTCGTCTCCTTGTACATAATAGCAACTCCGAAAATACAAGTGCACAAATGAGAATTGACTCCAGATAACAACACTATAGGAAACCTATAGATGTTGGTCTTGTAGGTGCTATCAAATAGAATAACATCACCAAAATGTTCATACTCGGCTCTTGAAATCCCGTCGCACCAAAAGATTCTTGTAAGTGCATTGTTTGCGTCGACACTGTGCTGGTACTCAATTGATTTATCATTTACCTTCATGTCGTTCAGTAGACCCAACATAGTGTTCGCATCACCTCCTTCAATCCTTTTCAACCTTTCCCCATTCAGATAGTTGTACGCGTCTTTCCGATTAAATAGGCGTGTTTCACTCCCTACACATGCTTCATCTAAAAAATCAATAACATGACTTGGTTTCATCCCAACATCAGTCATCAATTGCAACACGTATTTTGTTTCGTTGCTCATTAATCTGCATGCAATATGGAATTATATAAGTATACAATGGATTCAGTTTACAAGGAAAATTTGATAAGGAAAAAAATATATCATACCATCATGCAAGGATGTCAATATAAAAGTAAAACCGGAACGATTAGATTACCTATTGCAACGTAGTATATGACTCGTATCGGGCGTTTCTAGGCGGTGACTGTGATCGGGATTGAATGTAGTCACCCGATATATTCCGGTAGAACGATCAAGTGCAATACGGAATATGGCTGGGCATCCACACCGCCTGTCTTCTTTCGGTGCACGCGATCGATCATAATCCTTAATGCGTGTGTCACGATACCCAGCTCGACAACAAACCCAAACCCTATTCATAACGACGTTTAAATCTGTTTTTTTTCTTTTCAAAGAGTGCTTGCGAATGTCAAATCCTGTTAACTGACCGTACCTAAAATAATATTGATCGGCCTCATGTATATCAGTAAAGGTTAATGACATCATGTATTTAATTAATTGCAAACGATCATCGTTCTCGTCAATGTCGCCGGTGTTGCCTTGCAAATTGAAATTCATAACACTTTCGTTTTCGTCTTCAGCATTCCTTTGTGATTCACAATTAGAAGACCTTCGATCTTCAATACAATAAATATATGGGATTAAAGTAAGAAAACTATTAAGGATTTTGACCAAAACCCTAATTATTGAAATACAAGTAACATAAAGAAAACTATTAAGGATTTCGACCAAAACCCTAATTATTGAAATACAAGTAACATACCAACTTCGTCGGGGTTAGACATCCTTGAATAAATGTATTCTGAAGAAATAGTGTAACGATTCACCAATTCGAATTTGTAGCAAAGTAAGAATAAATTAATGGATCGAAAATAATGATGAACAATTGAATTGATCGTGAAACCGTAAAACCAGATTTCAAAGATGAAGATGGAGAACGTATTTGATTTGGTTAGAGATTAGGGGATACATCAGCATAATTAGGAAATAATATCGATTAGTTTTTTTATTACGTTTGTGTATAAGGTTATTATGGTCATTCAAAAAAACAGTAATAAATTAATTAAAATTGCATTAAAAATATAGAGGGTAAAATTGACATTACATTAATAATATATAATGGCCGATTTTTTTTTAAATATTAATTATATGAAGGGTATTTACGACAATACGTAAATGAGGAAAAATTGGATTTTTTGGCAGGGACACGTGGCGCAATATAAAGGGGTATCTCATAAAAGTTTAGAACATTGGATCTCACCCTAGAAATCTAGACCCAAAACAATAATTATACTTTGCTTTTCTCTTTTGTTTCACTCTCCTTTTCTTAAAATAAATTTTCTCCTTTTTCTTTTTTTAACAAAAAATCAAATACAATTTACAAATATGAATTGTTTTGACGACACACTTTCAAAAATTATGTATAAGCGTTATTGCAGGAAATTGCATATACTACATTTCCAGAATGAATCACCTTTTGATTTAAAGATGAGAAGAAAGTGACTGCATTAAAGATGAGAAGAAAGTGAGTGCATTAATTTAATTTAATTTAATTTTGACAAGGTCGACTGAAATTGAAGAACATTGAGTTTTGGGGAAAGTGGGAAATCTGGCTTCACAAATACTGAAACGCCTATTCCCACCGGGAAGTAGATCACGCCGCCGCCAATTGAGTCTATCTCCTCCCATCGTTATGGATCTGAATCCCTTTAGGTTTTGCTCTGGACTAAAGTTCCTCGGCTATTTTATGATCATCCTCGTCTTTGCTTTAATTGCTATTTCCTACGACGCCGTCATCGTCCTCACCTGCGGACCCCATCTTCTTCACGGCGGCTTCAAATCCTTCTTATCTTTCCTTGTCCTCACTCTTTTCCACCTCCTGGTAATTCCTCTCTTTCCTCTCACTCTTAATTCAACATTTAAATTCTAGCATTTAAGTGTTCTTCCTGTTTATCATCTTCACTTGGTTTTTTACCTGCTCGATTACGTAAGCAGTAATGCTTTCCAGTTTGCTACCTCTATTGAATTGTTGAATTATAATTCATAATTTAGACTGGACCTTGGATTTCTCAAGTCTCACAAATTCAACTTGTTCCTCCTGCATATTGAAGGGTGTTAAATGTTAATATTGATTATTTTAGTCCACAAGGACTATTGTGGAATGAAAATAAAGGCCAGGGTTATATATTTGAAGGCAGATTACTTAAAATTAAGGGCATAGCTTATTCTAACTAGCAAACAAGGAGTTTGAAATACTATCAACCATATTATTATTGTCTGTAGATTGGCTGGTTAATCGAAACATAACCGGCAATGACTGAGTGAATTCTCTTAAAACATCATATTTCGCTGAGGAACATCTACAAGTTTGCTCAGAATGTTGATCCAATCTGCAGCTTTTTTTATTGGTATGGAGCTATTTTATGGTTGTGTTTCGGGACCCTGGTGCCGTTCCTGCGAACTGGAGAGTGTTACCTGATCAGAATGTTGAACAAGAGAACTTTGTATCTTCCAGTTCTTTAGCAGCAGACGACAATTCAGCCATGGCCTCATCTTCAGATGGGATAGAAAAAAGATCTGCACCAGGTTATTGCAGTCGGTGCCAAAACGGCAAGCCACCAAGATGTCATCATTGCTCTGTTTGTAAGCTCTTTTCTTTTTTCGTTTAATAAAGTGAAATAAACATGATCTAGTTTACTCTTTCGGTAAATGCTTTATACCATTTTCTTGTTGATCTCGTTTAAGTTGTACTAACTTGCCAAAACTTAATGTTGTATCTTGACTAATTTGAATGGCATTTTATATCTTTATTCCATCAATTTAGCCAGACCTTTTACTCAGCCTTCACAGGGGCACGCTAAAAGGGTTGGATCTGCTTTTATTTCTGACTAATTAGAGTTTTGGATGTGCTAATCTTGGTGCACTGACACGGGAGTTTAAACACTTGTTCATATAATAGATACTGTTGATTTGTGATAACATATAATGTCATGAATTTTTAATCGCATTCCTTTAAACCCCATTAATATTTTGTTGTTCTGAAATATCCACACCTGAATATATCACTAACCATAAGATGCATTAACCTAAAGATATTTCTATTTGTTCTAACGCATTATGATTTTCACAGGTGAACGATGTGTTCTTAAGATGGATCACCACTGCATATGGGTTGTCAACTGTGTTGGAGCTCGCAACTACAAATTTTTTCTCCTATTTGTGGTAGGAATAAATTACATTTGATACAATTCTGTGTGAATTCTTGATATATAGTTATGAGTGGATTGCGAACAGATTTAGGGACTTGCGATTGCAATTTTTTCTACTATTCGACCCTATTCTCAAAGAATTCTTGCTGTTTAAAATAGAACCCAGTTCATTAGAAATTTATATGATTTTCTTAATCTCTGTATTATATATATTTTTTAATATGTAACTAGCTTTATTATGAAGCTCTCTAATTGCTGAGGTCTGTTTGTGGCTGTGACATAAGGCTGGAAAGTTATACGTTCCTTCAACTATTCTTGTCTTGGGCTATGTGCAGCCTTTCAGTACCTCAGAAAGGGTTGTGTGAACTCTCTCTGCAAGGATATCAACATTGCTTCACGTTTGACACTTATATTCATGAAACAAGTATCTTGGTACTTCAGCAAGGCTTAATTGGTTTTTTTTCCAACTACCATGGATATATATATGGATTTGGCCCTTCTCATTTTTCTTTTTTGGCAAGCTAGATAGGAATTAAAGTTTATTTGGATCTCATTTCACTTGGTCAAAGTAAAAAAAAATACGTCATTATCTCTTAATACCTTCTTTGTGACATAGCTAAAACAAATTTTGAGATAAGCGGTGCACAGAATTCACTATGGTGCACTTACAATTACCCAGTTTTCCAGCGATGCATCTTTTGTGTATCAATATTGACTTGTAGAAATATGTTTACATGCAGCTATATACTTTTCTGGAGACATTGATGGATACTCTTGTGCTGCTTCCTGGTTTTATAAACTTTTTTCAACAAGCTAACCATCATTCTAGCTCTCCCGGAAAGCTGGCAATCACCTTTTTGGCCTTTGGTAATTTCCCAAACAGTAGTATTCATCTGATTCCAATGCTGTTACCGCATTCTCATCCCTTTAATGCTTCTTACAGATTCCGTCCCTTGATGCAGTTTTGAATCTAGCTTTTGCTCTGAGCCTTCTCTGTTTCGTGGTTATGCATATCTCACTGCTGTTGAGCAACACAACCTCGGTGGAGGTAAACATGTTCATCTGCATTTCCGAATTGGCTTTATATATGATTACTGAGGTTCAAATTTATTATTAAGTTCCAAATGCGAATTTGATTTTGAAATGCAGAATTAAGCACTCAAAATTACAATTTTGCTGTTGACTGTCTGTCTGTTTCAGGTTCATGAGAAGAAAAAAGGTATGCAGTGGAAGTATGACTTGGGGTGGAAAAAGAACATCGAGCAGGTAAAAAGAAAATTATATCTTGTAATCTTTTTCAGTTTTCTCGGTTGTAACTAGGCATTAGACTTAGAAGGAAGGTGCTGGTTTAATTGAATCTTGTCTTGGAAAACTGTCTAATGTTAATTGATTATTTCACTTCTCAGGTTTTTGGCACTGAAAAGTTGATGTGGCCCTTTCCGCTGTTGTCAAAGCAAGACCTGGAGAAGGTACCTGCACTTGATGGTCTAAATTTTCCAACACGCTCAGATGTTAACGTATAAGTTATTTCATTTGTGAGTGTCGTCTTATCGGCTAGCTCAAGAACCTCTCTTTTCAGAATTCAGATTATATATGTAATTGGGTTAGGTTCATCATATTTGTTTTTCTATTATGTAATTTAATTACCACCATTATTGATGAAATGTATATTGAAAGGTACATCGTAAGTAAGACTTGCTGTAAATCAACAGAAAAAAATCATCTGTCTTTGTTAACTATGCTAGGGCGGGAACATTGCCCTCCAAATATTATTGTTATTATTTTTTAATTTGATTAATTATCCGATTAGTTTATAAATATTCTTGTTAGGGTTAATCACAAAAAGGCCCATAACAAGGGCACTTAATTAAAAGAGAGACATCTAACTTTTTTGTCTTTCAAATAAATTCAGTTCATTCAAACTTATTTGCAAATAAGGAAAATCCTTGGGATATACAGTTTTGGTCCCACAAGTTTGCACGTTTTTTACTTTTAGTCTCCCATTTACCTCGTTTAACAAAATACACACTAATATTGTCAAATTTTAACACATTTAGTCCCTCCGTCTGTTTGACCGTTAAGAAGTAACGGTCAACGGTTGAATTTAGGGTTTTTCTTTGAGAAAATTGCAATAAGACCCATATATTCTTCCAAAATATTCTAAATACTCCTAAAATATTTTTCAACACTAAATTAACCCCAATTTCATCATTTACAAACGACCCCCATTTTTCGCCACCATTACCGCCGACCTTTGACAACCGTTAATTTTTTTTTTGAACTTTAATTTTTTTTTTTGAACTTTTTGTTTCGGCGTTAACTTTAATCATATAGAACAAAATAACATTCGGAATCCACCGAAAACTCTGGAATCCACCAGAAAATAGAGAAAACTCTAAGATTTTATTAAAATTCGAAAACTTCTTCCAAAATAAAGTCCTAACGCAGCTATTTATACTAAAAAACTGAAAACCCTAATTAAAATAAGAAAATACTAAAAGTTACCAAAAACGGCAAAAACGAGTTAGAGTATGATTCTAGTAGATCTCATAATTTTGGGAACAGCCCAATTTACGGAATCCTAATATAATTTTTCTATGATTTGATATTAATTTTCTAAAACTTGCCTAAAATAGCAAAAACAAACTTTTAGGAGTCTAAACGGCGTTCGATTGCTGAAATTGAACGTGATTCATGAGCTTCGCTCATAAGTTTTGTTCCTTGCGCCGTTTCACTTGAGATCGAGTTCGCTTCGTACTCAAATACAATTTGAGTTCGTAGAAAACCCTTATTTTTCCATAATTTCTTTCGATATTTCCACCAATGCCCATAAATAACTCTTCTCCGAATCAAGTAGTTATTTTGCAATTCAAATCCAATTTGACGTTCCTTATCAACTTTTTTTTAATACTATTTTTTACGTCGTTCACCGACATTGTATTCTCGATTAACAATGTTGACTTTTTTATTTTTCTATTTTTGGAACTTTTTACTGTGACTTTTTTTTTTCCGATCAACACAATATTATTATTGTCTAATACAATAATAATATTGTATAAATATCTAGTATCGTAATATTAAAATTATATACTTTTAACAAAGTTTTTATCTAAAATTTTGGGACCGAAATACAATTTTAAAAAAATTCTGAAATCCGTAATTTCTTCCCCTCATTTGTTTTTCGTGGAACCGCCAATGCATCCCAAATTTCTTCTCAAAAAATATGAAGAAGATGAATTAAGCATGTGCGGAGTAATTTGGAAATGAGATAACCATTCCAGTACAACGGTTTTAGGGTTAACACCGGCAGTTAATTATTATTTTTTTTTATTTGTCTTATAAATTTTCCGTCATTGAGCTGCGTTGACGTTTTCTTTTTTTCTTTTATTTTAACTTCTTTTAGGATATTATTTTTCTCGTTGTTATCATTTGACTTTCTTTTTTAAATTATATTTTTCCAACTACTCAAAAATTTAAATAAAAATCAATAAAAAATATCAACGATGTTAACCCGATATTCAACATCTATCAACAACGACAGAACAAAGGTCAATCGAAAAAAGAGTCAACCGAATTAAAAAGAAAGTCAACGTCGGATTACCCGATTTTGAAAAATCGGGGTCATTGGTTAAATTGTTTAATTGATGAAATTGGGGTTAAATTATGGTTGGATAAAACTTTAGGGGTTTTTAGAATATTTTGAAAGAATACAGGGGTCTTATTGCAATTTTATAAAAAAAAACCCAAATTCAACCCTTGACTGTTACTTGTTAACGGTCAAACAGACGGAGGGACTACATATGTTAAAATGTGACAACATTAGTGTGTATTTTGTTGACGGCGGTAAATGGGGGACCAAAAGTAAAAAATGTGCAAACTTGGGGGACCAAAATTGTAATTATCCCGAAAATCCTTTTATATATGGGATAATTAGTGAAAACCCCCCAATTCATTTACTTATATTAAGGTGGATATAACCTCATTTTCATTATTAGTGAAAACCCCCCACCTTATATTAAATAATATTTTTTTAATTAATATTATTTTAGACATTACTAATATACCTAATTTGCCCTATTATATCTAAAATAATTAAACCTATTTCACGTTCTCTATTTATCTTATTCTTCTCTCTCTTTTCTCTCTACGTATCGGCCGCCTCCAACTCTCCTCCATCTGTGTTCTGCCACCGCCTCCAACCCTCTTCAATCTCTGCGCCGCCATCGATATTCTCTTCTCCCAACGGCGTTCCTCCCTCCACCGACGCGAAAAGAAGATGGTCTTCACCCCTGGGATTCTCTCGTCAAGGACGGCGTTAGGGTTTTCGCTAGGGAGAAAGACGAGATTATGCAGCGGCGCTAGGGTTGATATTGCGCTTGAGATTTCAATACAGACCACCGCCCCATTGTTTCATTGTTGTTGTTCTTCTTCTTCTCCGATTTTTTTTTTTTTGGAATCCAATTCTCGAATCTTAATTTTCTTAATTGGAGTTTTTTGTTGAATTCTTATATAGAAGGCTAATTTTGTGTTCAATCAATAGTATAATGTAGGTTTTGTTTTTGTTGAAATTGTATGGTGTTATTTACAGATTTATAGATATTTTCGTACAGCAATATAGTTGTTTTCGTACAGCAATATAGTTGTTTTCGTACAGCAATATAGTTGTTTTCGTACAACAATATAGTTGTTTTCGTCAGCAATATAGTTGTTTTTATTACTTTTTATTAGAATGTAATAGTTGATTTTGATAAATGAGAGTTGTTGGAGATATATAGTTGTTTTAATCATATTGTTTTAATAACAGTTGTTTTAATAATAGTTGTTTTATTGAAATATAGTTGTTTTAAGTGAAGACAAAAAATATAGTAAAAAAATATTTTTAAAAGATATAATAAAAAAGTTAAAAAAAATATTTTTTTAAATATTTTTTTTTAAATAAGAAATAAATAAAAAAATGAAAATTAAAATTAAAATACAAAATAATAAAAAAATAAAAGTGTATCAAAGTAGTTTATAATAGGTAGTGAATAGAGGAAGTGTAAATTTGAGAATAAAAAAAGGATGGGTCTCCCACTAATAAAGAAAAATGAGCTGGATCCATCCTTATTAAAATAAAGGTAGAGGGGGTTCTCACTGATAGTCCCTTTATATATACTAAAATTACCCCCAATTCATTGAAACCCAATTCAACTCCAATTTCATGATTTACACACCCAATTTAGCCCAATTTCATCAAAGAACCAATTTTAACCATAATTTTAATTTTGACCCCAATTTTGACCCGCCACCACCAGAGACCGCCGGTCGCCGCCGTTGACTCTTAATTTTTTTTTTATAATTTTTTTTTCTTAAAAAAAATATTTAATTATTATTACTGTCTAGGCTGTTAAATTACTATCTCCACTCTCCAGCAGTTATTTAACTGTCGGAGACAGTAATTTAACTGTTAATTGACTTTTTTTTTCTTCAAAAATATTTTAATTAATATTACTGTCTTTGTTTGCCGCTAAATTACTTATTTCGATTAGTTTTATGAACAAAAATACCGGAGTCCTTATGAATTGGAATGCTCAATAAAAGATAAATATAATAAAAAAATAATAATAGAGGCAGTAGAGAAGGCAAATAGGTAAGAGCCGCGTCATCACGTGGACCCAACGTCAATTTCCTTCCATCGTCTTCATCCGTCCTCCCCTTTTCTTAACCTGTAAAATAAATCAAACAGATTTCAACTGAATCTGCAAAGTTTGTCTGATTACATTTCAGACTATTCTTTTTCACTTTTTTCAATTGATCTTAACAGAATCAGAAATACAATTTGTTTATATGTTTCTCTTCTTTTACTAATCGGTCGAATCTAATTTAAATTTATTCAAACGAAAAAAAGAAGAAAAACGCTTGATTTATAGTCTAGTTCTGTTAAATTTATTGAATTTGGGATTGTTGATTAAAATGAGCAGCACATCGATGTCTCGAACGAGAACGCGCGTGGGTAAGTATGAGTTGGGGAGGACGCTAGGAGAAGGAACCTTCGCCAAGGTCAAGTTTGCCACTAACGTCCAAACCGGTGATCGCGTTGCCATTAAAATCATTGACCGCGATCGAGTCCTCCGTCACAAGATAATTGAGCAGGCTATTATCTCTCTCTCTCTCTCTCTCTCTCTCTCTCTCTCTCTCTCTATATATATATATATATATATATATATATATATATATGTTTGTGTGGTGTGTGTTTGTATAATATTCGAAAATGCCGAGCGTGCTTTTTATTCTCATTCGCTTAGTCTATTAGTTTAATACGCCTGTTGACATTAGAAGAATCATCCATTAGAAGACACTTTATTTTAATCTCTTTGGTTGCTTTTATATTCGTGATAAAATACTGCTTTAGCCATTTCACTCTGTGGGTCCATAGATCAAGTTTAATTCTTTAATGGAAAAGAGCTGATTTAATTCTTTAATGGAAAAGAGCTGATCTACAGCCTCAATAAGTCTCTTTTCTGTTTCCATATAAAAGATTTGTGTATGTTTTGCAGATCAAAAGAGAGATTTCGACGATGAAGATGATTAAACACCCCAACGTCGTAAATTTATTTGAGGTAGCATGTAATTTAATATTTTTCTCGGTAAAATGAAGTTCAGTTAGTCGCCAAGTTATTAATTATTCTTTTTCTTACCAATGATTGTATAGTCGATAAGTAATTCAAAATATATTTCACATATGGATCAACGTGCTATATGCCTTGTACCGCAAAGATTGCACCAGTCATCATCCTATGACTTCAAAGTTTACATGTGAGAAAAGATGCTCTTTTTGCCAGAAGACATACAAATTGCTGGCTTATTATTTTCCAACCATCTATTTCATTCTAAACCTCCCTTTTTTTTTTTATGTAAGGAAGTTTGTGTCTGCATGGGACCAACTTTTTCAGGGTCTCATATTTCAAGTTATAGTTACCGATCCATTTGTGCTGATAACAGGTTATGGCTAGCAAAACCAAGATCTACATTGTTCTCGAATATGTTGATGGAGGCGAACTTTTTGACAAAATTGTAAGTTTTCAACTTCTGCAATTGAAGCCTGCAGCCTTACATATGGAAGTAAATAAATATGTCATTGCCCTTTTATCTGTAGGCTAAATATGGAAAACTTAAAGAAGATGCTGCAAGGAGATACTTTCAACAGCTCATCAATGCTGTGGACTACTGCCATAGTAGAGGTGTATACCACAGAGATCTAAAGGTTGAATAAGACTTGTCACGTATCACATAGTTTATATGTCCAGTTTTGATCGTATGTACTTAACAATGTATTCTACATGTCTTAATATAAACATGCAGCCGGAGAACCTGTTGCTTGACTCCTACGGCATTCTTAAAGTTTCAGACTTCGGATTGAGTGCTTTCTCAGTGCAAGTCCGGGTAGGTTGTGTGTAAGTTTTGTAGTTAGAGTTATCTAACAGGACAATTTGAGCGCCAGAGTTTACCCCATGAAGATTTATCGATGTCAACAATGTGTTTAGTCTTTTTTACAATTTGATTCTATGATCTATTGCTTTTTCCAGTTATCCTTGACGAGAGAATTTTATTTCAACCTGCATCTTTTTGTGAACTGTTTTCATTTTGTTGTAACTGAGTTGTGAATTTATTTTGATTTAATCTGCATCAGTATTCTTGGTTGGGTCAGAAAAAGTGGCCAAATTTGGTATAGATTCCTGTCGGAGACTGCATTTCTTTACCTTAATTTGATTTCACGTTCTGGTAGTTAGCAAGGTCTAATTCACGGTGAAAATCTCACGATGATTCTTCTGTAGGAAGATGGACTGCTTCACACAGCCTGTGGGACACCAAATTATGTAGCACCTGAGGTAACGCACTTACTTGGTTAAGGCTATGTTTTCAGTTTAAATCATTCATTTGAGATGCCTTTTTGCTTTCAGGTTCTCACTGATAAAGGCTATGACGGTACTTCATCAGATGTATGGTCTTGTGGGGTTATTCTCTTTGTTCTGATGGCTGGATACTTGCCTTTTGATGAGCCCAACCTCGTTTCTTTGTATAGGAAAGTAGGTTTCATAGTAATTCCTCTTGCTGTAGTGATTTTTGCTTGGAATGTTTTATGACAAAACTCTATTGACCAGATTCAAAGGGCCGAATTTTCATTTCCTCCATGGTTCTCTTCCAGTGCGAAAAAGCTGATTAAGCGTATTTTGGATCCAAATCCACTCACTGTGAGCGCCGCTTTAACAAAAACCTTCTTTCTTAATTTCTTTCTTTCTTTCTTTATGCACAAGTCAAATTTTATTTTGGTATGGACATGTTTAGGCATAATAGTTGTTCTATGTTAGCAGAGAATGAGCATTCCTGAAATTCTAGAAAATGTCTGGTTCAAGAAAGATTACAAGCCACCTCACTTTGAGCAGGAAGAGGGGGTAAATCTTGATGATGTTGACGCTGTCTTCAATGACTCTGATGTAAGCTCTACTTAAATGCAAAAATATCCTTTTAGGCATTTAACCGATTTAATTTTCTCTGCATGCAGGAACATCTTGTTACAGAAAGGAAAGAGAAACCAGAATCCATGAATGCCTTTGAGCTTATTTCTAGGTCTCAGGGGTTCAGTCTTGAAAACCTGTTCGGGAAGCAGGTGGTATAACCGTAGAGCTGATTCTATCAACAAGATTCATATCTACACTTATCATTTTGTGGTTAAGTTAATTATTTCATCTATTGTCGCAGGGGCTAGTAAAGAGAGAAACTAGTTTCACATCCAAGCATCCACCAAATGAAATAATGTCAAAAATCGAGGAAGCTGCTAAACCTCTGGGTTTTAATGTTCACAAAAGAAACTATAAGGTATTATTACCATATTTTCTTGGATATTCCATACCTCATAATGTGAATTATATTCAAAACTTTGCCAGTTAGTTTATCACAAACCTTTGTTTTCAGTTGCTTATACTTTGTACCAACTTGCAGATGAAGTTACAAGGTGATAAAACAGGAAGAAAAGGCCAACTTGCTGTAGCTACAGAGGTATATTATTACATTTTTGTGTGTTCATAACTAGACAAAGTTATAAAATGTTGGAACAATTGCTTACGATTTCAATTAATTGAAATCACACACATGCAATTTCTCAAAGGATAGGCAATTTCTCAGGTTTTTGAGGTGGCTCCTTCGTTGCATATGGTGGAGCTAAGGAAAACTGGTGGTGACACCCTGGAGTTCCACAAGGTATGCTATTAATATATGTTCAACTTAATAAATTCTGATTAAACTATTTTGTTATCGTTTATGTATGTATGGCAGTTCTACAATAACTTCTCATCGGGGTTAAAAGACATTGTATGGACGACGGAATCAAGTGATGAGAAAACGGGATGAAGTCTCGGTGCAATTGCATTTGGGTTACCTATTTCACATTTTTAATTTTCCTGGAGATGTTAACGCTTATAATTGTATTGAGAATGAATGAATTAATTATATAGGATAGGACTTTAATTTGGAGGGTATTATAATTATATATATATATAATGTGTGAAGTATTGATAAAGATAGCTGCATATGTTGTTGACAAGAACAATTAATAAATGGAAGTGGTGGAGTAGTTTGTCTTAAAACAACAATTACAGCTTGCAGTTGCATCCATCATCATTCATCCATGTCCTAAAAGTCAATTTCACTCACTCACTTTGTTTCCTCCTAATTAACAAGTTAGTGTACTTCTTGTTCTATTATTTCTTCTACATAATAACACGCAAGTTAATTACCCTCTTTATATAGTATATGTTATTATTTGTAAATAAAATAATAGCAGTGTTGATGATTGATTATTATTAATTTGATTGGTGTGCAATAAATAGTGTAGAGTATTATTAGAGTCCTTGTGTTTGTGATGGTTGGAACTTGGATGGATGTTGGGAGTTGGTCTTAAATGCTGGCTGCTAATAATGAACAAGTAAGTAGGGAATGGGGAACATTGAAAATGTGGAACAATTAGTTAACTACCAAACTACATCTTGTATCCAACATGTAATCCTCCGATATTATGATCCTCTACACAATGTATATATACTGAAATAATTAGTATGTTGTTGAAGCTGGAAAATAAATAATTAGTATGATTTTGGGTGGTTGAGTAAATGGAGTTTTGAGAGTTTGGCTGGCGTTTCGTTTCAACTTTCTTTGTTAAACTACTACAATGTAGTATAACGTGTCATTACATTTAATGACTGACAGCCACCTCTGCCCACCCCACTTTATTATTATTATTATTATTATTATTATTATTATTATTATTAATTTAAAAACTCTCTCGCGTTGTATACAGTAGTATATTGATGAAGAAAAAAAGAAGAAAATACTAAGTAGGCAGTAGCTAGGGTATATTACAGACATATCCCAAGTCGCCACGTGGGCCCGAAGAAGGATCTGTTTGAGTCATGCTGAAATGTTGTGAAATCAATTATCAATCCCACATGGCCACTTGGTCAACATTTGATGAACAAAATGTTTACCTATTAACAATAATAATAATAATAATAATTAATATGGAGGTTAAGACTTATTAGAGAGAGAGGTTGGTTGGGTGGATTAACCTGTAAACACACCACACAAACACAGGTATTGATGATAGATCGAGGTTGGTGAGCGCTATCTGTCTGCCTCTCTGGACTACAACTACTATCATTTCTCATCCATCATCCATATATATTTTAATAATAATATTAAATGTGAGGCGGCCAATCCAATCAGCATAGTTTTCTTGCAGCTTTTTGTTTGTACATTTTTTGTAGCCTTCTTTTCTGCTACTATAAAGACCCCCCTTCTTTTCCCTCTTTCCTTTTGTTCTAATTAATTCTTATAATAATAATAATAATAATAAATACTCGTACCAACCAAACAAAAAGCTGTTTCATAGGATACATATCATCACCATCACCATCATCATCATCATTTACGTATACTAATTAGCCATCTAGATTAAGAGAGATCCATCTTCATCAGTTGGAGGAATGAAGAGCAGCAGCAGCAGCAGCAGCAGCAGCATAGAGATGGATGATGAGAGGCTTCTGGCTGAGGTTGCTTTCAAGGACGACTCTTCTTCTTCCATGGTCATCAAAATCCGCCGTAAATTGCCTGATTTTTTGCACTCTGTCAAGCTCAAGTATGTCAAATTAGGCTATTCTTCTTCTACCTTCTTCTTCATTAATAATAATAATAATAACAATAATCCAGCTGCTTCCACTCTCCTCCTCCTACTACTCTTTCTCCTCCTTTCTTTCTTTACACACAGGCTCTTTCTTCTTTTCTCCCAAATTTGGATCACTCGTAAAACAATCTCTCTTGCTGACTCCTCCGGTACCCTTGTACTAATTATTGCTTCCACTACTCTACTCATCTTCTTGCTTTCCATCTACTTCTCTAAAACCCCAAGCCCCGTCTACCTGCTTGACTTCGCATGCTACAAGCCCGACGACGAACGTAAAATGTCGGTTGATTCTTTCTTGAAGATGACCGAAGAAAATGGTGCTTTTGAAAAAGACTCCATCGAATTCCACAAGAGAATATCTCACCGTTCGGGGCTAGGAGACGACACCTACTTCCCCCGGGGGATTACATCAACCCCACCTAACCTCTCCATGAAAGAAGCCCGTTTGGAGGCTGAAGCTGTTATGTTTGGTGCTATTGATTCTCTCTTCGCCAAATCTACTGTTAATCCAATGGTGGACATTGGTATTCTTATCGTCAACTGCAGCCTGTTCAACCCAACCCCATCTCTCTCTTCCATGATAGTCAACCATTACAACCTCCGTACAGACATCAAGACTTTCAATCTCGGCGGTATGGGCTGCAGCGCCGGCCTCATTTCTATTGACCTCGCCAAACACTTACTCCAGGCCAATCCCAACACCTACGCACTTGTTGTCAGCACCGAGAACATTACCCTCAATTGGTACTTCGGTAATGACCGCTCCATGCTTCTCTGCAACTGCATCTTCCGCATGGGCGGCGCCGCCGTTCTTCTTTCCAACAAGTCCCGCGACAGGCGTCGATCCAAGTACCAGCTCGTCCACTCCGTCCGGACCCACAAGGGTTCAGACGACAATAGTTACAACTGCGTTTACCAGAGGGAAGACGAAAAGGGTGTGGTCGGAGTGTCGTTGGCTAGAGAACTGATGGCGGTGGCGGGTGATGCTCTGAAGACGAATATAACAACACTGGGACCCCTGGTTCTGCCATTTTCGGAGCAGTTGATGTTTCTTGTAACGTTGGTGAAGAGGAAGGTGATGAGAAGTGCGAAGGTGAGGCCTTATATACCAGACTTCAAGCTTGCGTTCGAGCACTTTTGCATACACGCAGGTGGGAGAGCGGTTCTTGATGAGGTGCAGAAGAATCTTCAACTCACTGAGTGGCACATGGAGCCTTCGAGGATGACACTACACAGGTTCGGGAACACGTCGAGCAGTTCATTGTGGTATGAATTGGCATACACAGAAGCAAAAGGGAGGGTTTCCAGAGGTAATAGGGTTTGGCAGATTGCATTCGGGTCGGGTTTCAAGTGTAACAGTGCTGTTTGGAAAGCGTTGAGGGATATACCTGCTAAAGACTGCCCCTCCACTAATCCATGGTTTGATTGTATTGACAACTACCCTGTACTACTATTACCTACTTCTTCTTCTTCTTCCTGATATATCCATCATCATCATCATCATCATCATATATTTATACACAAGATCGTGACCAATTCTTCCATTTATATATCTACTGTTGGTTGGTGATTAATTAGCTAGTTGTACGTACGGCTTTTTTGATATATATATATATATATATATATATATATATATTTAGAGGGAGAACATGATCATCTTCAATGAGCTAGGTGACACTGTTGATTGAGATTAATTTATTTATCCCAGAAATATAATCAAAATATATATATATCACTAATCTTCGTTTATTTCTTCGTTTACTTTTCAACAATTTGAACATACAAAGAATTGGTTGGGCAAATTTGTACATGTGACTGAAATTTATTAACTCATGTACGATTGATTGGTTATAATTATTATGCCAATCTGGTTGGAGGTCAGAATTAATATATATATATATTGTATATGGTTGAAAATTAAACACATGCATGCATGTCAGATATCATTAGGCAATTATGGTTAAAGCTGCATACATATACATCGCTTTTGAACATGATCACACATATGAGATGACTAGAGGTATTCTGCATTTATTAATTATATTGTCGATTTGATTAAGCTCCAACATGAATACTTGTATATACCTCTTGCCTAACACTATTATATATTTGCCCAATAGTTAGTATTAATTCTTCATCTGCAAACCCCCTAACTAGCCTAATAAGCATCGATTTGCAATAATAAATATTAAATATGTAAATAATACCGAAAATAAAATAGGACTGTTATTTTAAATATTGGATTCAAAATTAAATATATTTTCAAAACAACCAAATAATAGATAATTTAGATGAAAACATTGAATTCATTTCAATTTAATAAAAATAAAAATTAATGTCACGTGGACATAAACGTGATACATGTCATATTCTTAAACTTGGACATAGTGGATGGGCTTTGTGGGATTGATTGTGTATGGACTTGTATGTGATTTTATTAAACCCAAGCCCATCTTCATCCAAGTCCTAAATAAATAGAATTATTATTATTTATTAGTATTAGCAGTTGAGTAGGCGTTGTGGGAAAAGCCGCACCGCCAGCCATAAAAACTATGTGGGCCGCGCTGCCACTTCAACCGTGGCCACCCAACACCATCTCCACCACTAAACCCCCTCCACGACGTCATCATCCGGTGACCGCCTGCAACTTGCAAAACCTAAATACAGATGCCGGTGCTGGTCCGGGTCGGGCAGCTATCAGTATCACCGCCCTCAAAGCCAATCAACCGCAGGAAAAGCAAGCAGAGAGGCAGATGAGTGGCGCCGATGTCCTGATGGCACTCCAGATAGTGGCAGCCAAGAAAGCTAAGAAAAACAAGAAGGCGAGAGATTCTTCCAAAGGTCGGAGTAATTTTAATATTAAAGAAACAAATCGTTTTCAGGATTTCAGTAATGTAAGGCCCTTGTGCATTCAACCTCACTGGACTCGTCGATTGGAGGAATTCGAAAGGAGACTTGAACAACTTTCTGAATAAGTTTATTTATGTATATTTCATTTTTCATCTCAATATTAGTACATTCATAATAATTATGTCATTTTTTTCTACATACTAAACAGATTATTATAGACCAACAACATAAATCTTAAGCATTATAATAATCTGCCAACAATAAACAGTTTTGATATTTTATCTCATCATCCCAAACAACAGAAACAACCAAATGGTAAAAAAGTCACAAGAGAAAATGTAGTTGGTGCTGGCATGTGGTGTAATGCTCAAAATTATCCATGTCCATTTCCCCTAGCATTCAAGTAGTACTAGTAGCTCAGGGTTACAGTGATCAACTCCCCTCCTACAGCTAGGCTATCCAAATACAACATGTATCATATTATACTTGTCTTCTAGTAGGGTCGGTAGCGTCTATTACGGTTATTATCATCATTGCTACCACCACCGCTTGTCCCCCCTCCTCGTCCACCTCCACCGTTGCTCCTATCATTATTCCTCCGCGGTCTCACAGGTGGTGCCATCTGTACACCAGGCTGCTGACTGTACAAAACATTAAGTCAGTCAGTTATCCATTCAGGCATTTTTCTCATTACATTGCGCATTAACCATTTCTAACAGAAACTTACAGAACATAGCCAATTCGACCATCTGGTAAAACCATAGGCACCATCTGCATTCCTGCTGGCATTGGTCCCCTTCCATAAATCATGGGCTGCTGCTGAAATGTGCCCAGCAATGTTAGGATAACACACACTCATAGGATGGTAACATTGAGTAAGAGGAAAATGAAAGATTCAAATTAAGTGACTACCGGCTGAAACCCAGCTGCTGCCCCATATCCAGCACCTATAGGTGAATAAGGATTCACTGGTATACCAGCATAGCCTGGATGGGGTATATAGTTCGGCATTGGAGAAGGATTGTGGGGATTAGCTGCATCAAACTTCTTCTCGCTCTGAGGCTTTGCAAGAACAACTTCTATCACATGCCCTGCATTTTATATGAACAAATATGATTTGCCAAACATATATAAATCATTATATACACATTCACAAGAGTGCTGCATTCCTAGTTGTTGAAAATAAATAGCAAAAGACAACTTCATGGTTCTTATACATTGAACTCATCTGACGAGGGTTATATATTGTGTTCAAAACTTCCATGAGAGATTTATTTCCATTTAATATAACCAAAGTACATAGCAAGCACTCCGTCTTGAACACAACCAGTTTTATCTGTAGATAACAAGTATGTGGGAACGGACCATTAATCTCATACTTTTCTGTCTCTTTGACAGCCTTTAATGCACTTGACCTTTCCGCATAGTGGACAAACCCAAAATCTCTTTTTCCACCACTTTTGGCAGGTGGCATAACAACTTTTGTGACTTCCCCATGACGCTGGAAGAGTTCCTTCAGTTGTTCAGTTTGTGTATTTTCAGGTATATTCTTCACGTACAGAGCCTTAACCTGGACAAACATGTAAGGGAGTGTTTGAGTATACTGCAACAGGCGCTGGAGTAAATTTGTATTGTCGGCCTGTACAACAGCAGTTAAGCAATATAGCTGCAGTAATATTTTAGTTATAACTCACAAGTTGCACTCTCTTCTATTTGTAATTTCAAAGTCATCATCTCTTATTGTATGTTATTCCAAATGTAGCAAGTACATTCCAGTGAGAGGAATTCAGTGTCATCTCAAGCATTCATTGTTAAAATATTAATAATTGGCACTTTGATGAACAACAGTGTACATAAATACATTTAGAATATAATCTACCAGATAACGCAAGTCAAATTTTTTTTTTGGATATATACCTGAGCAGCAGCAGCGGAATGATCAGGTGTAATCTTTGGATCAGCCCACGTTACAGTTGGGGTGTTACCATCCAGCTTGAAGCTCGCAGCAGCCATTTGTTGCCTAGAATAATCAGCACAAGCATTGTTGTAATATTCGACAAAAGCAAAACCACGGTTACGACCTGGATTCTGAGGGTCCTGTAGATATAGATAAATTAAGGTCAGAAGAATCTTTACATGCTGATACATGGTTTCCTTTACAATGAAAAAAGGAGTTCCAAACAAGACCTTTATCAACTCTATGGTTTCAGCACCAGGACCTGTTGCTTCGATGATTTTTGTAAACTCATCTTCAGTCCAAACCTTAGGTACATTACCTATAAACAATCTGTACTTAGTTTCTGACAGTGAACATCGCAGTATTCTGCCCTGCAGTCAGGAAATATGTGGTCAATGACAAAGAAGAAACATGTTTGCGTTAAACCAGGCTGAAAATAGAATTGCCTGAGCTCTTTACACCACAAGAAATAACATTGTCTGAAGTTTTATGACATAATGTGCAAATCACCTTAAACTCTTTGTTATGTAATTCTTCGATTGCCTTTTGTGCAACATCTTTTGTTCTGAAAGCTACAAAAGCAAAGCCCTTACTTTCACCGGTATCTCTGTTTTTCATTACTCTTATCTGTGATACGATGAAAGCTATGAGTAATGTGGAAATATAGAGAAACTGTACAAGCATAAATAACCAAAAACACAAAATTGCTGTTTGCCATAAATCTACACCGCTAAATTAGAATAACCTCAAAAATTTCGCCAAGTGGTTCACAGAGTTCCCTTAAGTCTTCCTCTGAAATATCTCGAGAGAGTCCTCCAATGAAAACTTCAGAACCGTGAGGAGGAAGATCAAGAAGTTCAGCATGCTTCTCTTTCTCTTCTTCTTTAATAAATGCAGAGTTCTCTTCATCTTCGACATGACCGGCAGGAATGTCATTTTTATCTGTTACTGGAGATTGATGTTTCCCAATATCCTCGTGAGATTCTTCATCATTTTCTTCACCACCTTCTCCAGCTCCTTCATCTTCCATGGGTTCTTCAACATCATCGTCTTCTTCAGAGTAATTATCATCATCTAGATCCACACGGTCCTCAATTTCAGTGTTCTCTGCCATGATCCTGTTTATGTTTCAAGTCTGGTCACACAATAAACACAATTTGAGGTTGAGGCCTGGAGTCCACCAACAGAATCTGCATGCTTACATTGTTATTATGGCAGCAGGAAAGAAAGAGAAAACCATCTGTAGATTGCAAGGTACGAATCTGAAAAGGCATATAACTAGGAAGAACTTGAAAATCATCATTCCTGGTACTTAAATACGAGATGTTTTCAGTTCTATGTCTTGGGTCTGATATGGTACATTACAGGTGTTTGGAAGTTTAATCAGAAATTCAAGGACGAATAGGAAGAAAGTTTTGTATTCATTTTTTCTGCTGCCACAAGCTAAAATTTCTGAACTGGGGGGAAAAACAATATACATAGACAAAAGAGGATTTGGTAATTGTTTGGTTTCCAGTAGATATAACTTTAATAGGCTTATTCTTCAGATAGAATCAGTAACAGAAACTGGATACCCAGTTGACAATTCTAAACAGAAACAAAAGGAATGCACTACATCACAAGATCAACCAACCCCACATCGCACTCAAAGACATTGGAAATAAGCCAAGACACAAGAAAGCAAAATACATGAAAGTTATAGATGTAAAATAAAATTGTCATGATCACGGGGGTAACATGTTAAAAAGGATTATGTAGCCTGTTATAGTGTACATTTGGGAAAAGCTAAATTGACCCCATATCAACCCAAAAAAGGTTTCTTCATCCCTGCAACAACCCAGCCACACCCAATTCCACCATAAAATAATAATAATTAAGAAAATATAACCTTTAATCAAAGGAACCCATGCCTGAACTAGCCTCCAACTGAAATGGGAAACCCCCGAAGTCGAAGAATAGTCCATATAGCAAAGAATTTCAACCAAAAAATCAATCAAATACAACTCGGGAATACCACAAAGCCCCTTAATTGGATGCACGTAAAATTAGGGCTTAAATGGAAAATTCACAAAAGGTTAGATGTATGTGTATATAGAGTTTGAGCGCGAGTGTGCATATGTGTATAAGTGTATATGTGTGAGAGAGAGAGAGAGAGTAAAACAACAGCAGAAGAAGAAGAAGTAGAGGCAGAGTAGTAGGAGAGATTTGAGTAAGACTTAGCATACCAAAACTTGTGTTTTTTAAATCGATTTCTCTGTGTGAGATCTATCCGAAACAACGAAGTGCCTCTGCCTTCTCCCCTCTTCTTTTCTCTTCATTCCACAATTTTTGCCCTAAATAATAGATTGGTGCTTTCGCCTCTCTATCCCTGCCCATTTTGGTCATTTCTTTGGTCACCTGGGGATATTCCTGTCATTTTCACCCATGCATGAATTTTGCGTTTACCGCGGTACTTTTTTCTTTTTTTTTTTTCTTTTTAATATATATATATATATATATATATATATATATATATATATATATATATATATATATATATATATATATATATTTTTTTTTTTTTTTAAAACCTTTTTAATATTTTTTTTTCTGAAATACTATTTTCAGAGGGTTTTACGTTGGCATTTTCAACAAAAAAAATTCACAATCCTCTCAAGCTCTCTCAAAAAAATCAAAATCTTCACAAACCATTTTTTTTTTTACTTTCAGAAATGAAACAAACAATTCCGACAATGATTTGAGGGAAAATATTATTTGCTTACGTAAATTTGTTAAACATCGTATGGTTGTTTAGTTAACAAATTATATATATTATATTAGATTTATTGTTGAATAGATTAATTTGAAAAAAAAATCCTTTTATTTCATGCTACAAAGCACGAAATGGAGTGATGCATTCCGTGCTCTGTAGCATGAAATGATGTCATTTTGAGTGTATCTAGTTTGTTTCGTGTAGATTCCACGAAATGCAAACTACTGTTTCGTGCAAAAATACCAAATTACTTTGATTCCGAGTTTCAAGTCACACATATCGGCATAAATTTGTGAAGGATTGATAAGTTAATTCATATTTTTATTTAATGATGCACAATATTGACAATAAAACCGAGCTTCTTGGAGCTTTCGGTTGAGATATGAATGCACTAACAGAGTATTCGGTTCATTCTTATTGAAAGCAGTAGTTGTTGAAGAAATAATATGAAAATTATGCATGATCTTTGAGTTGTTTAATGACTTGGAGATTCATTGATCAATCCGACAGGATTAATGTCCCAATACTGACCATTAAGCAAGACATCCTTGTCGGTATCTTGAACCTTGGTACAAACTCTAGCTTTCTCATAAACTTTACCCGGTCGACAAAGATATCCCTTGTTGGGGGCACAATGAGCATCTTTAGAACAAATACAGAGTCCTTCCAATGCACATCCATCTTTGAATATGCTCAAACCGTCTTTCAGTCCCAGAATTTGATCTGTCCAATCACTTGAAAAAAGGGCCATTGGATCATACTTTTGTTTAATCTTGATGAATTCACTAGCTTTCTTGTACTTGTCGATTGCACCTTGAAAAGCCACATTCCTATTCTTACCCCAGTGTGGCAAACCATTGTATTTGAAAACACCAATCTGTTCGATTTCTTCTAGGATGTCTTGGAAAAGCCTTGGAGTAGAAGCATTTTTGCTTCTGTAGTAAGTGATGTCAAAGTCGATAGCGTCTTCTTGTTTTCCCAAGTAGGCTGTTGAAGCTGTAACATATCTCATAAGAATGCCATTGTACAAATCCAAGCCACACAAGGCCTTGGGCTCCAATGACACCAGCTTCTGAATGTCGTTGATGAAATCCTTGACTTGGGACAGGCCTATACTAAACGCTGTTTGATGATAGAATAGTCCCTTTACACGAGAGTCCCATGGGCATACTGTGTTCTTTTCATCCTCCGAGCTGTCTAGGCATGTTCCTGACGCTTGCATTCGATTCTGATATCCAATTACTGGATACCCGGTAAACAAATTGCCATTATTTGTTAGCCCATAAGCCACAGTTTTCAAGGCAGTCGTTGTGATCTTTGCGGTTATGCATTTACCATCTTCGTCACCAAGGGATTCTTGTGTCTCCTCTGTCAAAGCAAACCCAAAAAATTAAGATTATTGGTTTACGTACTAGCTATGATATAATAGTAGTAATAATAATTACTAGCTAGGTAGGTAGCTAGTAACCACTTAGTTAATTAGTTAATTACCGGTTTTTCTCAAGGCCAATAGAACAAGGGAGGGAGTTGAACGAAATCCGGGGAAATCATTGAGGCCATTACTTGCTTCTGAGGCGTTGGTAATTGAGACCCTATCATCAATACGGTACACTACACGTTTTTGACTCGGGTGCCAAATCATGTCTGCAAATTCGTGTGCCCTGCCAAAACTAACTGCGGCTTCATCTCCCAAACTGGAGTCATTTTTTGTTATGTATGTCACCGACCGTTTGAACAGTGCTTCTAATTTCAGAGTCACCTGGATTATAAATACTAACTTATTCTTAATTCAACCCAAGTGTATATATATAGTAAGTTAATAACATGTATATATAGTAACTATAACATATATGCATATTAATTGTTGGGGTCGTTGGTTATTTAATTTGTCTGCGAGCTGGTGACTTGTATATACATATATATGTCCTTTTCTCCACACCATTTAACCGTACCAGACCTATTTATAAATGATCAGTAATCTTTTTTCTCAATATTAATATTGTGTGTCGGCCATTAATATGAGTAGTAGTAGTTATTACAAATTTACAACACAGACGGGTGACGACACAGGCATGTAGGGTGCATGTTTTCTCAATTATATGATCGAAGACTAAATTAATAAATCAAAACTGTGGGCCAATTACATATATATTAATCAAGAATATAATTAAGAGTCGATCAATTATTAGCATTAATATTTTTTTTAATAGAGGGTAGGTACTGAAAACATGGCAACACTAATGCAGGATGATGCATAGGTATGTATATGTACCTGGGAAATAACTCCAAGAACTCCAAGGGAGACTTTAGCTGCATCAAAATCGGGATCCCCAGTTTGGAGAACACGAACCTTAGCATAACCGTCATCAGGTCCAGCAGGAGAAACGATCCTGAGTTGGATTACATAATCGTGTACTTGACTCCCCAAACCCCATAGTGAGCTGCCATGTGCACCTGTGCCCATCATACCTCCCACAGTCAACCCCCACCAGTATGGTGCATATGGCAGAGCCAGCTTCGCTTTAGCAGTCTCGTTGATGAGCTGCCTCAGAGTCACCCCGCTCTCCACCGTTATTGTCATGGCTGAAGCGTCGATTTTCAAAACACGGTTTAGGTATTTCGTGCTTATAACCACTCCTTGGTCTCCGTCTGGGCAAACCAGCTTCGGAATGCTGTGGGAATACCGTGTTGCCACTTTCATCTTTTTCTTTGCCATTGTAGAATTTGCTACGGCTGATATGAGCTCTGCTTCTGAACGAGGATAATAGGCCTTTGCTGCACGGCATGTGCTCCTGTCCGGGAATATACCGTTTGAGTTTGTGATGGTGCAGTTTGAGTAATCTGAGCCTCCGGTGCACTTTATCGGATCTTCCGGTGGGATGCATTTCACCACATGACCACATGTGATCATCATTAAGAAGAAGAAGATCCAATTATATGACAACTTTCTAAATTTTTTCTCCATCTGGTGTACAAATTGTATTTGATCATGTGTCGCCATTATTATTAATTGCTGAATATAATGGTCTTTTAGTATATATATATATCTTTGTTGGGTGCCTTTAAAGTTTGATATTTTTATCAATGAAGATATATATATATATATATCATCATTTCCTCTAATTTATAGAGATGACCATTTCGTAGCAGATGCTTTCAAGTTAGGTGTCTTTCATATATATATATATTTTTATATTTCAGACTAGAATATTTTTAGGTATAATACATACAGATGGGGCTGCTAACATGTGTTAATTTTGAATAATAAATACTTACTCAAGATAGACAGCTAGGTTCCGGATAGAAATTGGGCTTCCACTAGTCTTCTTGGTCAAACTGTGTATGCTCTCCCATTATCGTCGTTACTTACTAGTTACTTGCAATTGATTATTATCATTTATTAATAATTTTGTATTATGACTCTTAGTTTTGGTCTTGATTTGGTCGGAATAAAAAAATCCATCAGGAAATAGTAATACTCCATGTGATTTATTAGCTGGCTGGCAAGTGGGGCAAGTGGGGCATGTGAGACTTTATCAATGTTCAAACTAAGTGGATTTGTCTTAATGGGCCGAGATAGCTTACCTGTGGATTAACGAACTGCTGGCCCGTTAACATCAAACTGAAGCCCAGCCCCATAACTCCAGTCCATTCCTCCAATTTACGATTCTCTCCCCTTCTCCCTCTCTCTCTCTCTCTCTCTCCCCCTCTCTCAACGCACAGTAGACTAGAAATTATGGAGGAACGTTCATCGGCAGTTGATCTGGACTCACTTCTCCTCTCGCACGGAGAATCCGACTCCGATGAAGCACCTGATGGCCACCACCTCACCGTCGACGAAATACTCCTCAACCACTCTTCCTCTTCTCCTTCCCCTCCTTCTTCCCCTTCCACTTCCTATTCTTCGACTTCCTTGCTTCACTCACATACATACAACACATCTACTGCTATTCCTCTTACCAATACCACAACTAAGTATGTTGGTAGGGTTTTGCCGCAATTATTTAGCACTGGGGTTAGCAGATCCAGTGCCAAGCCTGGCGCCGCTTTGGCCGCCGCTGCCGCTGCTTCTCGCTCAATTCCCACGCCCCATGCCACTGCCATCAAGTTGAGAAGAGCTACCGCCGCTTTTCTTCAGAGCTCGGTTTCTGAAAATGCGCAAAATAATGTTTCTACTCATGATTCCACTTCGCCACCATCAATTTCAATTGGGGTTTCCTTAGTTTCTCAAAAGGACTCTAATGTGGATGGCTCTGGCCTTTCTGCTCTTCACGAAGAAGACCAAGGTGTTAAACTGGAACAATTCCCTTTGAAAATTATCAATTCAGACTCTGAAAAAGCCCAAGATGCTCTTCGGGATTATTCTGTTATGCACAACAGGCTTCAGGAAAATTCCGTTTCAACCAACTCCAAGACTCTTCCAGATGCCTCCGATAATGATGAACAATGCAGAACTCCAATTTTTGAAATTGTTTCTCATGTTAAAAAAGATAAAGATATAATATTGGATGAACTTAATGTGAATGAGCCCTTGTTAAACGAAAAAACTGATGACTATCCTGAAGTTGTCCCTGCTAACGAATCTGGTCAAAATAACAGGATGGTTGGCCCCCCTCCAATTTTGAATGATGTTGATAGTGAATGTACAACTGCCGAAGAAGAATCAAATAATTTTGGGAGTGTGCAGGCTGAAGACAAGGGAGATGACGATGCTAGTGCACAGACAGATGTTGCAGATATACACGAAGACTTGGTTGCATTAACAGATAACAACTCGGACCATGCAAAATTTCAGGAGAAATCTTGTTCTTTGTTAAAGCCACTTGACTTAGCTGAAGAAATTGAAAAGAAGCAAGCATTTACAGCTTTGCACTTTGAAGAGGGTGCAGCTGCACAACCAATGAGGCTTGAGGGTATTCGAAGGGGCTCTACGGTGCTAGGTTACTTTGATATTGATTCCAACAATGCTATTACTAGGACCATCTCGTCGCAAGCTTTCCGGCGAGATCATGGGTCTCCTCAAGTTCTATGTGTACATTTGAACTACATTGCAGTAGGAATGTCCAAGGGATCAATTTATGTTGTGCCTAGCAAGTATACTGCTCATCATGTTGACAACATGGATGCAAAGGTTCAGTCTAGTATTTAGTTCTCAGTATCTGTTTTAATTCAATGGTTTCAGATTCAGCACATATGGTGATGGTCGTTACACTTTTCTGGGATGTGATAATATGCAAAGTTCTTACATTAATTACCCTCCTTGGGAAGGATGTTTAACATCACTAGCATATTTGTATATTTTTACTTTAGTTGTGCTTGAGTTTATTTATTAACCGGGAGTTTGATCCTATGGTATTAACTTATATTTATTATTGAATGGTGCACATGCACATGAATGCACTTTCAGATGACGTCGCTTGGATTACAAGGGGATAGGTCTCATGTCCCCGTAACTTCCATGTGCTTTAATCAGCAAGGAGACCTACTTTTTGCGGGATATGGTGATGGTCATTACACTGTTTGGGATGTGCAGAAGGCCTCAGCACTTAAAGTTATCACTGAACATAGAGCTCCAGTAGTTCACATGTTATATCTGGGCCAAGATACTCAAGTTACTCGTCAATTTAATGTTGTTAGTGGTGACAGCAACGGTGTGGTCAAGTTGATTCGTTTCTCAGTCGTTCCATGGCTCAATAGGATATCCTATACGAAATCAATGGTAGAGATCAATCCCTGATGATGAAATTTTTAATTAATGAGCAATAGAAACTCCCTAGAACTGATTTGTTTATGTTAATGTTTGGAACAGAAACTTTTAGATGAAACTACTAGCAGAGTAATATGTGCTTCTCCGTTGCTATATGGTGACAGCCATGGAGGTACGATGATGTCCTCTCAGAGTAGTAATGCAGTTTCTGCTAGTAGTATTAGTAGTATGATGGGAGGCATGGTTGATGAAGGTGTTGTCATATTCATTACACATCAATCTGCTCTTGTGGTAAGGGTTCTTTTGGGAGACTGCACTGATCATTGTAGCTTATATTACTGTTAAATAACATGCTTAAAATGTGTTGCTGATATCACATTCCTCCGCAGGCGAAAGTTAGTCCCAACGTCGAAGTATACGCTCAAATTCCCAAACCAGATGGCGTCAGGGAAGGAGCTATGCCATATGCTGCGTGGAGATGTATGTCACAGTCACTTGGTTCTTCCTCTGGTATGTATGAATCAAGCTTTCACAATTTTTAGCCAATGCTGTTTCGAGAGTGTTTATTTCAATCTTTTCTCCCAGAAAATGCTCCTGTTGAGACATCAGATAAAGTTTCACTGCTTGCCATTGCTTGGGATCGGAAAATTCAGATTGCTGAGCTGTTGAAGTCGGAGCTAAAAGTAATAGAGAAGTGGACTCTTGAAAGTACTGCTATAGGCCTCGCATGGTTGGGAGATCAGGTTTGATTTATATGACTTTTTTAGTTCTTTTTCATACCAACTCACCATGACTTTGATCCTTGCTTGCATGTAATTTTCTCTCCTATGAAGCCTAATTTGTGGTAGAAGTACACTAGGAAATATCATGATCTTTTTGTACTGTGCAGATGTTGGCCATCCTCACTTCGACGGCCCAATTGTATTTGTATGCAAAAGATGGAAATGTGATTCACCAGACAAGCTTTTCCGTGGATGGATTCCAAGGGGATGGTCTCATTTCCCATCATATATATTTTGCTAATGCTCTTGGAAACCCAGAGAAAGCTTATCAAAACAGTGTTGCGGTTAGGGGTGCTACCATATACATACTTGGTCAGGAGCATCTAATTGTTTCTCGTCTTCTTTCCTGGAAGGAACGAATTGAAGTTTTGCGAAAAGCGGGTGACTGGATAGGTGCCTTAAACATGGCAATGACACTTTATGATGGTCAAACACATGGTGTTATAGACCTTCCAAAGAACTTGGATGACATACAAAGGAGTGTTATGCCCTATCTTGTAGAATTGCTTCACTCATATGTTAACGAAGTATTTTCCTATATATCAGTTGCATATAACAACCAACAATCAAAGCTGGATGAACTGGATGGCATTAAGGAGCAATATACCCGTGTTGGTGGTGTCGCAGTTGAATTTTGTGTGCATATCAGGAGAACTGACATCCTCTTTGATGATGTGCTGACTAAATTTGATGATGCTCAACATAAAGGTGCTTCATTATTTTTTGGGTAGTATTGCACAAACTATAAGTAAGGTGACATACTAGTTTAATTTAATTGGCCTGGATGTTGGTGCATTCTAATTGTCAGGATGTTGGCATTATTATTGTCTTAAAATGGTGATTTTTCATTTCAGGGTTCATGTTTGTATTGCATTGTTATAACTTCATTTTCGTCTTGTAGAGACATTCTTAGAGCTTTTGGAGCCATACATTTTGAAAGATATGCTGGGATCACTTCCGCCTGCGGTACATTCAACCTTCTAGATATTTCAATACCTTTTTCATCTTTTGTCATCTTCCCTAGTCAACCAGTACTGGCATATATTTAGTAATCGATATGTCTTGAAGATCATGCAAGCATTAGTGGAGCACTATAGCAAGAGAGGTTGGTTGCAACGAATTGAACAGTGTGTACTCCACATGGACATCTTGTCCCTGGATTTTAACCAGGTGAAATTATAGCCCTAGCTGTATAAATTGTTTGAATTATAAAGTGAGAATGTTCTTGTACAACTTCCAGTTTGACAATTTTCCGTTTACATTTTTTCATGCTTGAACTATTCAAACCTTTTTTTTTAACATAATGGAACTGGTAATATCTTATAATTGTACTGTAGATTGTCCGCTTATGCAGGGAACACAGGTTGCATTGTGCGTTGATATATTTATTTAACAAAGGTCTAGATGATTTTAGGACACCTCTTGAGGAGCTCCTGGTTGTATTACGAAATAGCGCAAGAGAAACCGCTACTTCCCTCGGGTAACTTGCTCTGATTTATAGTTGTATCTGTCCGGCAACTCTTTCATTTGTTATCTTTGTAAAAGAATGCCCTGTCGATAGATCAACAAGCTGCGAGAAATGCATTAAAATGCTTTCCTTCGTGTTCCCCTTCTTTTTACTGCCATGTGAAATAATGATAATGTAGCCCATTGAAGCAGGTACAGGATGCTTGTTTATCTGAAATATTGCTTCCAGGGTCTTGCTTTTCCTCCAGGTTTGGTTTCAAACTGATGCTTTGGAATCTTTATTCATTTGAACATTCCTGGAAAAACAGGAGTCGGATAGTTTAGTAATAAGACTGATAAAGAACGAGTCTAATGATAATGGCACTCAATTTAGTTTATCTTAACTGACTGTTACTTTATTCTCAATATGTGATACTCCCTCCACCCTAATATTATTGATGTTGGTTTGTTGACTAGGCTATTTTTCAAATGCTAACAATAAGCAGTTGAGTTAATCTTTTTTTAGTATTTTGAATCAACAGTTAAGAATTACTAGCAAAATTAAAATTTAAAAGTTTAATGAACAGTTTAAAAGATTAGGCAGTTTTTCAACATGCTGTAGAAAATAGGATTATAGGTTTGTGATAGAGGGTGTACTGGTCATAAACCTAGCTACAAAATGTACTGTAGTCTAAGAGTTATAAAGTCTCAGAAGTAACAACTGTGTATTCACCTGTCTCTGATTTGCAGGACGTGGAAATCTTTCTCCTACTCGCCTGCCCTCTCTTAGAAAAGAGCTTTTGCATTTTCTGTTGGAAGATTCTACTGCTCCAAGTTCGTGGGTAGTTTCAAGGTTGCCATCAAATGAAACCTATGCAAATGTGCTGCATCTTTTAGAATTGGATACTGAAGCAACCCTAGAGGTTCTGAAATATGCTTTTACAGAAGTTGAACTTCCTAAACCGACTCACTCTTCCGAGGAATCAACCAATGTCAACATGGAGTCAGCTGAAAGTCAGAAGTTGGTTCAAAAAGTTGTGAATATTCTTGCCGATGTTCTCGATGCAAGTTACTTCCAAACAAGCAGTCCTATCTGTGGGGATGATATTAATTGGGTAGAGATTTGGCCTTCAAAGAAAGATGTGGTTCACATGTACGATTTTATAGCTTACTATGTGGCATACGAGCAGGCTAATGTCTCTAGAGATGTCTTAAGTCAAATTTTGGAGTATTTGACGTCAGAGCTAAATATTTCGGAAACTGTGTCAGAGAAGACAATTGAAATCTTAAAAAGACGAGAGAAGAAACTACTGTCACTGCTACAAGTGGTTCCTGAAACTCACTGGGATGCTCCTTATTTGTTACATTTATCAGAGAAGGCTCAGTTTCATCAGGTATTAAAATTTTTGCATTGGATATGCATGCCATTTGTTAGTTGAAAACTAAAATGGGTGGAGACGAGGAGGAAAGTGAGAGTAAGAGTGAAGTTTCGATATGTCAATCCATGTATTGGGTAATGAATGCTAGAGGTGGGAACAATAGGTGTAGTGTGCAAGGCCCTCGTGGTTGTTTTCTCATTTCTCTTCAAAATATAAAATGGGGAGGTGAAAATTGAAAACATTAAGTTCTTTCCAAAATATATTTGTGCTGTGGAATGTGCCATGATAAGTTTATGTTTTGTAATTGTTCATATTTTTTCCTTAATAAATTTTCGCCCATATGTCAATATTATAAGTCAGGAACTATATCTTCCTTGATGGTGAAAAAACAGGTAAATACTTGCACCGTCACCAAACGCAACATGGTAATTAAGTGGCCTATTTTCTTATGCAGGTCTGTGGCTATATCCATGCCATCAGGCATCAATATGTTGCTGCCATGGATAACTATATGAAAGCAACGCATGAGCCGATATATGCATTCTCTTTTATTTATGATATGTTTAAGCTACTTGGCAATGAAGAATCTGATGCTTTTGAATCAGCCGTCGTGTCTCGCATTCCAGATCTTGTTAAACTGAGCAGGTAATCATTTAAGGCGTTGAGTAATTTTTGTGCATTTGTAATTGATTTACAAAAGAGGGCTATCTTTTTATTCTCGATACTGATGATCTTTCTGCTTTGAGATTTTGCAGAGAAGGAACTTACTTTCTAATAATTGACCATTTTTCTGGAAAAACTCAATATATTTTGTCTGAGCTTCGGTCTCACCCAGAAAGTCTTTTCCTCTATCTAAAGACAGTTATTGAGGTCCACACAACTGGTTCTCTCAACCTCTTCCGTCTAGAGAAAGTCGACGCTTTAGATTTCCCTTGTGCAAGAAGAGCTCATCAACAGTCTAATGGTGTCCAAGCTTATCTGGAAGCCATTTTCAGCTCCCCAAAACCTTTGCACAACAATCAAGTTAATGTGACTGATGAAATGATGGAGCTGTATTTTGAGGTGAAAAATTCTGAAACTTATAAGTTGTATTTTGACAAAAGCCCAGTATGGCCTTTTGGGATATGCATTCTAATGCTTTCCATTCCTAAAATTATTGTTTTCGTGAAAAAAAAAGTTGAGTGTATGCATGAAGAGATATTACAATGACCCGTGTAAGGCTGTTGAAGAAATTAATTGCAATACATAATTAAATGTTTAATCTACCATAATATTTGATTACTCTATGTTAGCTTCATTAGTATATTTGGTGATTCAATGAATGTAGTAGAAATTTTCGGCTGGATGGAGATACATCTAAAAGCTAATATTAATATCTCTATTAGTGTCTACACAAATTATCCCTTATAAAAGTGGGCATATCCTGTAGATGGAAAATTGTTTCTAAGCTGCCATGTTTGGAGGATGACACCTAAAACCCCTTCATGTCTATTTGAATAGAAGTAAATAAATAAAATGATGTTTTGGAAGAACCTTTGGTTCTAGAAGACAGAATCTGACGACCGGTTGAATGCATTGATTCTGTGACCAACTCTTACACTTTTGGTCCCGCTTTGCATCTCCTCGTAGTTGCAATCCCCGCATCCTCACTATATCTATTTGTTTCCTTGTAAAATCTTATGAGGATCATCATCCACCTATTCTCATTTTTTGTCCCATTTCATTGATCCATCACAGTTACTCTCTTTGTTTTTTTGTATTTTTTTTAATTTTCTAGAGTAATAAGGATTATTTTTCCTTGTTCTTGTATGCTGCAGTTGTTATGCCGATATGACCATAAATCAGTTCTCAAATTCTTGGAGACTTCTGAGAGCTATAGAGTGGAACACTGTTTACGTTTATGCCAGGAATATGGAATAATTGATGCTGCTTCATTCTTGTTAGAAAGGGTTGGGGAGGTTGGAAGTGCCCTTCTTCTAATTCTTTCTAATCTTGGTGAGAAATTTGTCATGCTTGATGCTGAAGTTCAAAAAGCAGTTTCTTACGCCATTGTGGATAACCTCAATGTTTTCCTAAAAAAAGAAGTGGTATTTTCAAACTTGATCTACATATGCTCTTTCTTTGAGGTTCAGTTTCTTCCCATTTGGTCTCATTTCTCAATAAGTGTCAATGCTTGAAATATGTTGCAGGTGGCTGACATACTTGATATCGTGCATGGTTGTATAAGATTATGCCAGAGAAACAGTCCCCGTCTGAAACCCGAAGAGTCTGAGCACCTTTGGTTTCAGTTGCTTGATTCGTGAGTCAACAACTTAAAAAATATATGCTTATTCACTTGTCTCCTTTTTGTCCATCATGTTTTGTAGTTTTTGTCTTTTTTCCTTCTATGTTTCTCTCTTAACTCCAGAAAAAGGATTTCCTATATGGAAGGCTAAATTACATGGTTTTTGTAATTTTGTTTTATTTTTATTTTTTTAATATAGTGAAGATAGAAGAGTCTTTTTCTTCTTCTAGCTATGAAGGAAGAGGTGGCGGACATGGTAGTTTAGTATTCCAAAAGGAAGCTAAGTATAATTAACCCTAAATTATATAAGGAATATTTCAAGCATAATGCTAATGTGCTTGGTTTGGCATCTTCTGCCAACAATATGATTGACACATCGTATGGTGCAACAGAGTTTTCCACAGCTCAATTTTCTATTCAACCTTTTCTAATATTTGTTTTATCTCCATTAAGGTTTTGTGAGCCCTTGATGGATTCTGGAAATGACACAACAGATTCTGCAAGGAAAGTAGTCAAGGACACTATTGATGGATCAATTAATGATGTAGAAGATGAAGAAGGTAGCAAATTTAAATGGAAAGTCTCCAAGTGTAATGAAGGAGCTCACATGATGAGAAAACTGTTCTCAGTATTTATTAAAGAAATTGTCGAGGGTATGATTGGATATGTTCGGCTCCCACAAATCATGTTGAAACTTCTTTCAGACAATGGTAACCAAGAATTTGGTGATTTTAAACTTACCATACTGGGGATGCTTGGAACATATGATTTCGAAAGAAGAATACTGGTAAATCTTATTTATAATCTTGTTTATCATGTATAATATTTCTCTAACGATACAATAATCAGGTAATAGTGTCCACAACATAACTGCTTCCAGATTATCTGTCCATGTTATTCAGCTTCAGAACTCTGGGGCAAGTAATTATTTCTCTTTTGGTTAGTAAAACATTAGTGTAAATTGAAAGGGGAAACATAAAGGACACTTGATGAAATGGGAACCGTAAATGACACCTAATGTATTTCATTTCCGTCATTATCATGTCTTTCCCTTGATTGTGGGTATAGTGTGCTTCTTGGTAGGATGTAATAATAATTTAACTGGTCTTTCGTCACTGTGTATATTATTAATTTGGATATATTCAGTAGTTTCATCGTCTTTAGTTCCAGTAGAAAGGACATTCCTTATTAAATTATCAACCAAATTTTGAACTGTTTATTTTTATGCAGGACACTGCAAAAAGTTTGATCGAGGATGATACATATTATACCATGAGTTTACTCAGGAAAGGAGCTTCACATGGTTATGCCCCTAGGAGCCTTGTCTGTTGTATCTGTAATTCAATCCTTGCAAAAAGCTCATCAGATTCTAGAATTCAAGTATTTAGTTGTGGTCATGCAATGCATCTCAGATGTGAACTTCAGGAAAATAGTGCCTCATTTAGTGGAACCTTAGTAGGATGTCCCATTTGCATTCCTCGGAAAAGAGCACAAAGGTCAAGTGACAAATCTATAATGCTTGCGGAGAATGGACTAGTGAGCAGCTCCCCTTCAAGGATGCAGCTAGCACGTGGGACACCTGCTTTGCATCCTCATGATCACGAAACTGTGGATAACTCTTATGGTTCACATAATCATCTACCTTCAAGGGTATGTATGTTTTCACCTCATTACCTTTCTCTATTCCCTGGGTCTATCTGTATAATCAATCTATTTTCTATGTATTCGCCCTTTGGTTGCTAATAATAAAAAGGTCTGCCTGAACTTGGTTGCAACAGTTTGAGCTCTTGCATAATCTTGAAAAAGATGAAAAACTGATTCAAATAGAGAACACGACTCAGTTGAGGCTTGCGCCACCTGCTCTTTACCATGATAAGGTTAAGAAAAGAATTGATATCTCGGCAAGTAGCAGTCGTGTTTCCACTACTGAGAAACCAAGGAATAGGCAACTTAGGGATGTCAAAGTGAAAGGATCATCACTCCGATTCCCCCTTAAATCAAATATATTCAGTAAGTTATTGCATAGTTTTTTTCCAATTAAAATTTGTCGTTTGTTAGACCAACCAAACTGGATGTCTCATTCATTTGTTTGTCGTTTCGAAGGTAAAGAAAAGATCACTCGTAGGAGGTGATACAAAACGTTCATGTGGATATGTATTGGCGATGCGGTAACTCATCAGTAAATATTTGGCTGCAACAACTCAATAATGTGGTTCCGACATATTTTTGTGGAAAATGAATCAGCTAGCAAGTTAAAATTTATTTTATTTCTAGCCCTTGGTTGGTGATTATTAGTTGTAGTTTGCGTAATGTATAATACATGCACCCGAGGCATGACAATGCCCGATTAGAGTTACGTTTCTCAAAATATTCACTAATATCATGACAATGAACTGACTGACGGTATTTATTTCGTACAATTTCAAGAAAATGTGCTTTTGAATATGTTGTAGCGTTTTCAAGCATTTTGACCTGTGGAAGAATGTGCTGTACGTTGGTTTCAGTTTGTTAAAACTTAAACCCTTTGGCTAAGGGTAAAAAAATGTAGCAGGCTAGATCAAAATGCAGGGGATTGTTGGGTCAATACATATTCCCCAAAGATTATTAGTTCCTCAAGCCTTTATACAAAACACAGGTCTAAAAAGATGGAAATAAGATAAAACTGAGATAACTAGTCTGAAAAATTGTCACACCAAAAAATTGCAGGGGCAACAAAGCATTAACGTGAAGTGTACCCTCACCTATATATCAACAATTCAACCATATCAAACTTAGGGGACTCAGCAAGCAACAATAAACATTATTCATTGACCTACTGTTTTCGTTCACATGACACAAATACTAAAGGGACTTGTTTATTGAAAAGCACAGACTACGAAACTTCAGATGATTGATACATACATATCTTGCAACTTGATCTCTCCTCTAGCTCAAAATCTAAACGTTATAATTGCAAAGCAAGAAGAAATGGCATGACAGGGAAAAAAAATGATAAGCAACAACACATAAGGACTACAATTTGAGAGCAGCTATTGCTTCAGGTTTGAAATCCACCCTGAGACCCAATACTCTTCTGACCTCAGCAGGAGTTAATCTCCAAGTCATAGGCCCTGAGTTTTCCCCCCAGAAATCCAATATCTCAGACACTTTTTCCAAGTTTAGGATAGTAGCCATCTGTGTTAGACGAGAAAATTTGTCTCTAACAGTCCTCTGTGTCATACTGGAGAAATGACTAACCAACGTCCTCGCATCTCTATCAAGCTGAAGACCACCAAGTTGACTGAATCTCTTTTGCATCATTATCACTTCAAGCCTTTTCACAATGAAGTCAATAACAAGATGCACAAATGTGTCGTAATTGTTTGCTGTCATCAATGGCTGAAGCCATGCAACATTGCTCTCGACACCATGGAGAAGCCTTTGCACCCACGGGTCATTTACTTCATTCTCTGCATATTCTGCTTCAGACAGCTCATAGCTGATGGTTGCCACGCTGTCTAACACTGGCCTTATCCGGGGTGTCACAGTCCCCACCAGTTGCTCCATTCCAACACCCAATGCCTTCTTAAAACTGCTGCTAATCTCATTCAATTCCGATAAGCAAGATTTAACCCTCTCTCTATCTGCTGGTGCAGGGAATGCCTGGTCGTGTAAGCAAAAATATTCAATCTGATTATTATAAAAAATAAAAAATAGTGGACACCATATGCATCGATAACTATTTCAAATGCCACAAATACATTTAGTATGTGCTCCAAGTTGCTCAAAATATATAGCAACGTGACCATGCTGTTTTTCAAAAATAAGAACCAGTAGGAAATTAAATGAGTCGGTCGTCTCAATCGGGATAGTTAACCCAATATAAATCCTTAGGAAGTACAAAATCTTAAAAGAAACCTGTATTCAAGCTAGAATGTAGTCTAATGGTCATGATTGATGTGGGCATATTTGCCCCCAAAGCCTTGGCAGGACCAGGCCCAAATATCTGGTAGGCCTCACCTGTTTAACATGAAATTTCAGATAAAGGGCCCTACTTATAAAATAAGGCCCAGGCTGCACACCTCAAAGATGCACCAGGACTGAAGCTCCTTAAGCATATAAAGGCCCATTTTTGTTGCAAATTAATTGATAGAAGCAGTAGCTAGATATCATTCTTTTCTCTCATATGTGTTCAGTTTATCTCGTCACTATCAAGTCTTGGTGAATCAACTCGACTGCGTCTATAACTACAACCTATATCAAAGATAACGCTATGCACTTCAAACTAAGTTAGATTATCAGTTTTTGCCATGTCACCATTTTAGCGAGTAACAACTTGGCACTTGCAATTTCAATATTCTAATCAAAACAGTAAAAGTGACATTTTAAATTAATGAAATAGTAGTACATACAAAAGGAAAAGAAAAAAAAGAGACATATAGAGAACAATTTGCACGAACCTCTAGGCATTGCTCTTCAATCTCATGGCGCAGTTTCAATGCATACTCACTACTGACATCCATGTTGTTCAAGGCCGTGGCAATCTCTGTACCAGTCTTCTGCACTCCAACACCACCCAAAAAAAGCTTTGCTCCAAGATTAGGCTCCCTCATATTCTGCTGCAATGCCTCGTTAAATTCACCTCCCAATAAACTCACAGCACCGCTAAGCACTGCAATCACCGAGTTGATATTGGAGGTAGAAATTGCCCTTCGACAGCAACTTTGCAAAACATAAAAAACATCATCAACCATGGATGTAGTGAGACTATCAAACACATGCTCATCAATCTGGATAGCTTTCCTCACATTCTCCACCATAAAGAAGCCTTCTAAAATGACATAATAACCAGTGATGTCCTGGGAAACTTTGCTGAAATTCCCACTCCTAAAAGCCTTTGTGGCTTGTGGGCCTAATTCTGGATCCACAGATGTCAAGCTCCTTATTTTGGACACCATGTACTCTGTGTAATCCTCACCCAGCTGTGTCAATGAAAGTATCTCTTCTAAATAAAGCTCGATTTCTCTAGGGTCAGGCCCTTCCACCCCAACTGACAGCAAGTTGCTCTTATACGAATTAATTTCAGAAGTCAATTTGGCCAATTTTCGATATTCCATGAATTTTTTCAAAATATTAGAACCCCGAGAATCACATTCCTCCTGTAACTCGCAAATTGCATAAACAATGCCATCCTCACCACACAAACTCCTTAAAATCTCATTGTTTTCCTCAATAGCCAAGACAATATCTTTAAATAAATTAGTCAAACAAGTGACGAAATTCACCTGGCTCTGGTTATTTGGCTGCTCCATGAGTTCCACCAATTGCTCGAACTCCATCCTGGTTCGGGTGGAAATGACTTTTCTTAAGTAACTAACATAAACCTGCAAGCCCTCCTCTTCAAGGCCGAGAGGAGTGTAGAGCTTAATAAAGCGGAGAATGGTCGGATGATCCCGCTGATCCACCGCTGCCGAAAGCTTCTTCTTGGCGATGCCTTCCAATTGCTTCTTATAGGAAAGGAGCTGGTCGCGCTGATCAGATGCAGAGGAGTCTTTGAACTTGGAGTCAATCTGGAGAAATGTTTGAATGTATGATGCGGCTGATTCGAAGTCCTCGGAAAGGAGAGATTTGTGGACACCGTCGAGGCAGTTGGATCGGTCGACGATGGCATCGATGCGGAGGAGAGTGTCCTGAACGCGCGATTGGGCGAGATCGAGGTGACGGACCTTGGCGGAGACCTGATCGGCGAGAGCGGAGGTGGAGGAGACGTTTGAGAGCATGTAGGAGGAGTCAACCTTGACAATCTCCAAAACTTCGACGGATTTGTGGAGGTTTGACAATTGGCGATCTAAATCAGAGCGTTGGGAAAGTAGTGTTTCAAGTTCGAGATCTAGGGCTCGTTGGTAGGCAATGCATTCGTGGAGGAGACGGGTCATGGCTCCGACGTCCGTCAGTTTGCGGACGTGTTCAAGCGCTTCCGCCGTGCCGAATTGTACGGATGATGAATTGGCGGCCGTATCGGCGTCTGCTTCACTTCTGGGTGTCGCTGCCATTGGCGGTCAAGCGTCTTGCTTCAAAATATTTCTCTTTCTTGTTCAAAATAAAAATAAAATATGTTTCACTTTCCTTCTGTTACTTATATTAGATTATTCTATTTAATTGTATAAATTTATATTCACAAAATCCCCTAGGGTATTTTCCAGCTTAAAATGTAACTTGAGTTGAGACTACTCAAGTTATAGAATAATTTTTCCGAATTGAATTGCAAATATTAGATACATTTAATTTGATTTTATTTATAGCGCGGAGCAAAGTGGTGCAGACAGGGACATGGAAATTATTAAATTAATAATAAATAATGAAAAAAAGGGCGTCCAATCTACATTATCTGGATTGATAGGAATGAGTGGTTCTCCTGACTAGTACCCAATCTTAATTGGGCTATAAACGAATTGATATCCACCTTTTAATTATTTATTCCATTCAGAAAATAGAAAATAATAATAAGAGAAATATATATATGAAACTTGATGAGTGTTATAATTCCGGAGATGATAAAAGGAAAAGTCACCCGTGTATACATAATAATCTTTTTGAATTAAGGCATATAAAATAATGGCCGCCTCAACAGCATCCACCCCACTTTCTCTTTCTTCTCCGTCGGCTCCTCCTCCTCCTCGTCTTCAGGCGGCGGCCTCCTCCTCGCAATGCCTAACTTTCCCTTCTCAGCCGGCGCTCAACACCAGCCATCTTGCCAAGACCACTGCCTATTGTCAGTACAGTATAACTATACATAATATATATTAATTAATTAGTCATGTATGTACCGGCAAATCTATTAATTTTTGTATGTGTTTTTGTGCACTACTAATGATCGATGCAGGTAGAAAAATTGGCCGGAGTGTTGTTACTATGGCTACTGGAGAGGCGCCAGCTGAAGTTGTCACCGCCACTGAGACTCCTGAGATTGTTAAAACACTCCAACAAGCGGTAATTAATTTATCATATATTATAAATATTAATTACAATGCACGTAATATAATCTTATTTTTTTTAAGATATATACTAGTTGCGCTGATTGATAATTCGATATATCACTTGGTGAATTGAGTTAATTATAAATAATGTCCTTATTAGCAATTCCTATATATTAATTCATTCTTCTATATTTATATATTATAATTGATCTAGTGGGACAAAGTTGAAGACAAGTACGCCGTTACTTCTCTGGCGGTGGCTGGAGGAGTTGCACTGTGTGCCTCTGCCGGAATGATCTCGGTATATACGTAACCATCCATCGATATATCAATCGGTTAATTTCTAGGCGGCTTTAATTAATTAATTAATTCATTCATTCATTAATATAATTTGTTGCCCATTATATTACATATTAATGGGGTCTAAAACATCCATGATGATGAATTTATGTTTTTGTTAAGGCTATTGACAGGCTCCCGTTGATACCTGGAATTCTAGAGCTTGTTGGAATTGGATATACTGGAGTACGTAACTATTATTTCCACCTTCAACCTTATTAATTATAACTTCAATATTTTTCCAATCAATATATATATCCAACTCACTTATCTGTGTTTTTTTATTTACTGATCGATGAATGCAGTGGTTCGCATACAGAAACCTAGTCTCTACGCCTGACAGGTATCATATCTGTATAATAGTTACTTGTCTCGTAAATATATCGAATATATATAGAAGCTCATTGATGTATTTACGTATAAATTGATCATGCTAACAGTATGTACTAATTGCGGCTTACACATCGAAATTTCAGGCAAGCGTTGATTCAGAAAATCAAAGACACTTACAATGATATAATTGGGAGCAGCTGATCCAAGTTAAAGCAGAGTAACTGCATGTACAATTGCAATTTTATATATACATTTATTATTATTAATAATAATTAGCATTTGAGGTCACACGCAGACAAGTACTACTGTTCTCTCTTTCTGTTGGTGTAGTCCTCTAACTAAAGAGAAATCCAGGATCATTAATAAGCTATGCATTCTAAATATGTTTTTCAGTACTAGCTAGTCGTTGCACATCTTTATAAATGAGACCTGTTATTTATACCACTGAAATATATATTGTGCTAGCTAATTAACTTGATGTGCCACTACATCTGTTACTCTGTTTTTTTTTTTTTTTTAATTTTTTAATTTTTTTTTTACTTTTTAATTTATTTATTTATAAATAATTTATAACATAGAAATATGTGTTGGGAATCTGCTGCGAAAATTGTAAATAATTCGTCAGATAGGCAAGGTGAGGCGCGGACTAGGTCGCTCGACGAATTTCACGATCCCTTCTCGAAGAGGTGCAGTAAGGTCGCAATCGTGTCGCCTATGGGATACAACAACCCAACTTATCTTGTTGCTGTAGCTTCACAAGAAACCGCACTATCAAGTGAAGCAAGAAGCTTGCATCCAACACTTGTAAGAACTCAAAAGATAACAATTTAGTAGGTAACGTGGAGAAGTTTTTTGCTTGAATTTGAAATTTGAAGTGCTAATTTGTAACTCTCAAAAAATGTATCCAACCTTTAAATATAATTTAATATTGGGTCAAAACATTGAAGTTAGGAGACTTGAAAAACTATTTTTTGTAACGGACAAATCTTCACATTTAAGCCCGAATATGGTTTGAAATTCCACATTTATTTATAAAATATTCCAATAATCCCCCACTTATTTTATTAATAAATTAAAAAAATTAAAGGTTTTGAGTTCTTAAGAGAATATTATGCATAATGAAAGTAGACAATACCTTGAAACCGTCACTTAGTACATTATATTTTCCGTACTAGAATTAAAGTGGACTTAGCATTGAAACAGTGATCCTTGGGCACGTGGAATTATAATGCACACATAATATTCGAGTGTCCCGAATAAGCTTCTTAAAGCCGGCATATTAACGGCCTTGTGCCTTACCCCATTTTTAGTGAGTGCTCTAGAGAATAACCTATACTTCTTATAGAAAGCGGCCCCACTTCCACACTCACATATGTGAATTCTATCAAGGATGTTTACGTAACTCCAACACCCCACCCATCCGGACTATAGAATTCATTAAGAGATCTAAGTCTCATCCTCACAATTCGTTACGAGCTTTATTAGTGCACACACACCATAGGGATGAATTATGAATGTCTGCACTTTTATCACTATCAAGTTGCTTTCAGATCGTTGGTCTCCAACCTAGTTCTTGGGATCTTCAGTCCCTAGGCGGTTGTATCCTCATCAACAACTTTACAATATTTTAGGCTTTAATCTAATCCCCCTCGATGTCATTAAAACTTTCTCTCTAGCTAGAAATTTTGTGAACGGATCCGCAAGATTATCGCACGATTTTACAAATTCAATGGTCACAACACCATTGTTCACATATGACCTTACAATGCTATGGCAATGTTTGGAAGCGTTTTGGATCTTATTTTGATTTCATTTTGAGGAAATATGTTTTGGGGGAATAATTTGAGAATGAAAGTAATGTTTGTTTGTATTTTGAAAGGAGACAAAATAAACTGTAGCAGTCAAATCATGTTTAAAGGTGTTAGAAAAAGGTATTTTTGAAGAAAAAAATTGAAAGATGAAGTGATGTTTATTTGTTTTTTAGTGAAGACATTTTTTACTGTAGCAATCAAATCATTTTACTGTAGCAGTCACATCATGTCTGAAGGAGAGATAAACTTTTGAAATTGTTTTGAGAAAATGATTTGAAAAGTGTAATAAATCTCATTTTGTTTTGAGGAAACAATGAAAACAAAACAAAAATGGTTCCAAACGTTGCTATGTTTTCTTCTAATGGTTCTTGATTTACCATTGTAGAATTTATTTTGCACTCGGCCAATTGCAGCTTTGCTATCACAATTTAGCAAGACAGGAGGCATTGGTTTTTCCACATTGAAATTTCATATAATAAGTCTCGCAACCAACTTGCCTCTTCACTGGCTGAGGCTAGTGCTATCAACTCAGCCTCCATAGTGGATTTAGCTATAATATGTTGCTTTTTTGAGCGCCAATATATAGCTCCTCCACCTAATGTTTACGAGTAGCTAAGTTTTTAATCTGGGATTTTATTTGAACCCTATGTGGGGATGGTGAACCCGTTTTCTTGAGATTATGCAATTATGATTTTATGATTATTTCTTCTACTTGTTATGATTGTTAGTGCATGAACTTGATCAATTTATGTGCTTTATCTGTGATTATTGGGATTGACTCGACAGAGCTATTTTGATAATTAGACGATAAGTATAAGAACCTTCGAGCAGTTTTCACCGGATGAGTGTGTCAATTGCATGTGGTGTCGTAGACATACAGATATCACCTTAGGTAGCCATTTACGAGAATTGTTAGTTAATGCTTTATTCATAATTTGTTTGCATAGACATATAGTAAACCGTTTATGAATAATAGACTCATAATACACGAGACAGCGGGTTATGATTAAATTAGTGTCTCGGGTTAATAATCATGAATCGACCACCATATTCCACCATCTTGATCGCACCCTACTGGTATTCAATTAATCAATTAAATTAATTGATCAAAAAGTGTGGAAAAAGCATAAGACACCATGAAGAAACAAACAGATAAAAAATTGTGGAAAAATCAAACTCTTTATGTTTGTGCAATGGCAGAAATGGAGGGATGATTTTGTGCCCCAAAAATGAAAATACATTCTTAATTCTGAAGTTAAAGATGAGTTAAGTTTACATACACACAAGTTTGCTAAACTGTGGCGGCGAACGGCGTTGTTGAAAAAAAGGAAGATGGGAGGAGGCGGAGGCGGTGGCGGTGGCCGTTGAAACGGCGGCGGTTGAAAAACGGGAGAAGGAGGCAGCGTGAGTGTTGGATACGGCAGCTTTGACGAAAGGTTCGTTGTGAATTTTAATTTGATGAAATTACACCGAAATGTTGGAATAAATTGAATTGTCATATGATTTATTTGCTTATCGAATGTAGTATGTTTTCATAATATTTGAAGGCCCAAATTCGTGGCCACAAACTCAACCCTTATGTGTCCATAACTTCAAATTACAGGCCCAAAATCAACTTATATTTTGACCATAACTTCAAAATACAGGCCCTAATTGTCCTCATATTGGGCCCATAAGTTGTTATGAAAGGTCCAAATTCAACTCATATTGAGCCCATAACTTCAAACTATGAACGAACCTAAAATACGAAATATAATACTACATAAAATACGAAATATATACAAAATATAAAAAGAAATTGAATATTCATACATTAAAAATTTCCATAATAATTATGGAAATAAGTCCAAAAATGAAATAAACTTTGTTATGTATTTTTTAAAATTTAAAATTTGAAATTTGTATCATTTTTCTTTCTCTTCATATTATTTTGAAAATAATAATTATTGATTCATCCATATACTAGATGTATAAAATCTATGATTATATCTTCTATTATTATATTAATAATTTATTATATTAGATATATGTATAAGCATAAAACTTTGTTAATTTTGAATTCATACAAGGAAATGTAACTTCAGTATAAAATGTAATTTATTTATTAACATAATAAACTAATCTTAAAACATACAGATATATATAATAGATGTATAGATTATATCATCATATATTTTATTATTACATGAATATAGTCATAACTAGGTATTATATAGTCATAACTAGTCATAAAAAGCATACCAGCACTAATGCACCGGATCCCATCAGAACTCCGAAGTTAAGCGTGCTTGGGCGAGAGTAGTACTAGGATGGGTGACCCCCTGGGAAGTCCTCGGTTTTCGGGTTTTCGGGTTTTCGGGTTTCGGGTTTTCGGGGTTCGGGGTTTCGGGTTTCGGGTTTCGGGTTTCGGGTTTCGGGTTTCGGGTTTCGGGTTTTCGGGTTTCGGGTTTCGGGTTTCGGGTTTCGGGTTTCGGGTTTTCGGGTTTCGGGTATCGGATTTCGGGTTTCGGGTATTCGGGTTTCGAGTTTCGGGTTTCGGGTAATCGGGTTTCGGGTTTCGGGTTTCGGGTTTCGGGTTTCGGGTTTCGGGTTTCGGGTTTTCGGGTTTCGGGTTTCGGGTTTCGAATTTCGGGTTTCGGGTCGCGCGGCTCAGGGTTTCGGGGTTTCGGGTTTCGGTTTTCGGGTTTCGGGTTTCGGGTTTTCGGTTTCGGGTTTCGGGTTTCGGGTTTCGGTATTCGGTTTCGGTTTTCGGGTTTCGG